ATAACTGCAAAGTAAGGGGTACTTTCCAGTTTTTCCCTGAAGTCGAGACTCTGCGATGAAACAGCAGGGTTTGGGTTGCTTAAGTTGTATTAGATGACTTGCTAAGCTTGTCTATGTGCTTGTAAAGCTTTTGCATAAGTCATTGTATTTTTTTTTCTATTCATGTAAAACAGTGCCTCTGTGTGTATATTTTAGTAGTTCTGACATTTCTTAGTGCTCTCTAGTTTCTAAGACTTAGTAAGAAACAGCTCTGTCATGGCAAACAGAATTCACCCTTCCCCCATACGAGAAGCTTCAATTGAAATTATTGTCTGCTTATTTTTCAAACTTTACATGATCTAAGCCATATGGCTATTCTGCCCTGGACCAGGTTTAGGTCAGCTGATGGAAATTTCAGGATATCTCCAGTTTAGGAGGATACCATGTAGGTTGGAGCAGAGCAGAAGGCAGAAGTGAGAAAGAATGGCTGCAAGAGGTTGCTGTGAGGAGCGGGAAACCTGAGACGGTGGAAAAGTAGAGAAAATAGAATGCAAAAGTATATGAATAAAAGGAAAAAGTGAAAGTTACAAATGCAAAACAGAAAATGTTAAAAAAGGAGGTGAAAATAAAGAAATTCACTTGAGCAAATATTGTCTCTTCTTCCTGCACCTAAGCTGGTCGTTTGCAGATCAGCTTCCCCAGGAGAAGGGGGCCATGACCCTCCTCCTTCTTGTCCTTGCTTGTAGTGTATCTTGCCTTACTAAGACGGAAAGCAATTCGTGGATCAGGTTCACAGATGTCCAGACTGTCTCCACTTCCAGAGAGTCCCAGTTTACATATTGACAGCCTTTTCCTCTCAAATTTCTGTTTTCAATGTTCATTTCTACCGTGCCTGGTTCTTTGTGAAGCTGGGAGTGAAAGGTAGCACCTGCAGAAGCCACCCAGTTTAAAGTTGCGGTTGTTTGTGAGAGAGTTAGCAGCTCAGGAGAGACACACAGATCCTCATAACCTCATTCCTCATTCCCTAGTTCTTGCAATATAGCAGAAAAGCGGTGTCCTGGATTTGCATCCTCTCTGCACCATTGATTGTATTTCTGATACTGAGAGCTTGGTGGATGACTACACTCTGTTTTGCATAAATATAGAGCCTCAAGTGTGGCTGTACTACCCATGCTGTAAATATTTGTTCAAGTCAGGTCCTCTTGCGCAAAGAGAAGCTTCGGTTGTAACTACGTGCACGAAGTTTCTTCTAGGTAAGAGGCCCTCAGCAATGTGCAGACATGACTCTTCAAGCCCTGTTAGAACTGCAGAGTAGGGATTCAGGACAACAGTCACTGCTTGACAGTGTTAGCTCTCTACTTACAAATCATGCATTAAAGAGTTCCACCTCTGTGACATAGGTTCAAGCTAAGGAAACCTGGGGGAAGTAAATTCCTGCACATTGAAGCTATAGGGAGTATGCTCTCTGGAAACAGGTAATATCCAAATGGCAGAAGTACCGCTGAAATACCCCATGCTTGCTGCTGCAGAATAAAGAGACATGGCTGTAAGGCCAATATGTTATGTTCGCTAACTTTACCCCTGATTACGTTGCACTAAAAGAAGTCTCATTTAAAGATTTCTACATAAAAGCTGCAATGACTCAGTGGCTTTAGAGTGCCAAAAGTTTTCCTGAAAACTCATTGCCATGTTGCTTACAAAATAATTCAGAATAACAGTTAATGAACGATATGCTCCGTCCACATTTTGGGACCTTTCATGGCTTCTATGATAAGTGACTAATATTAGCAGATGACTAACCATGGTCAGAGTGTATCTGGCCTGGCTTTTTTTTGTGACCTCATTTGGTCTCGTTTGGTGCCATCAGGCTCACTCATAAGGATCCTCTGTAATATCCATTAGCTTTTCGACTCTGGGATCTCCATGTGTTTGCTGCAATGCGCAGTGGTAGACGGGAAGTACTTTGGCCTATAGACACGTGCTCGCTGAGAGAAGCTGATGAAGATCCAAACACAGTCAGGCAAGCTCAGGTCAGAATATGTAGCTTATCTGCTGCTCCATGCTACCATTTGACTCTGGAGTAAATGTGGAGAAAGAGAAATGGACTGCCTTACCCTCTCGTTTACTCTGAATCATCTATTTATGTGGTTATCCGCTGAGGTTGGCCAGGTCTGTGGCTTCTTCAGTAGTGTCCTCTGTAGCAAAAAAATGATCTGGATTTGGGGTGTTGCAAAAAACAGCCAGCAGCAATGCAGGGCAGTTCTGCCTGCGAGAGTAAATACCTTATGACAGCACCAGGCCTCTCAGGATATTTCTGCATACCTGTGTTACTTTTGAGCTAGCTGGCCTGGTTATTGAAGTCAGGGTGAGAGTGCCTTCAGTTAAGTACTGCAGCATTATGGTGCTGCAGATTCATTGTTTCCTGTACCCCAGCCAGCTAAAAAGCACCTGAAGTAAATATGAGTTGCGATATTGCAATGGTGCCTCCTTATTGCAAACAGATGTAGTGTAGATTCTGCTATTTTTCTGAAGTGGTGGAACTCAGTAGCCTCTTGCATTGTACACAGAGCACAGAGGCAGAGAGCTCAGCTTCCCATTGCAGAGAAGAAGAGAAATACAGCCTCCCCAGTATGGCAAGGTGTGTAGGATGGAAAGACGATGGATTTGTCTCTTGGTGGATGAGTGCTGAAGTTATGAAGAGAGGAGTCATAGACAGATGAGAAGGTGGCTATAACCTTGTATTCCTTCCCAGCACCTTTGGGTCAGATGTGTTTGGGGAGGAAGTTGTTGCTGAGTCAGATTTGATATGAAAAATGAGGTGGGGGGAAGTCCCTTTTATTTTTAACATATACAAGGCTTCCTGCATGGGGAAATGTGGTTCTTCAACTAAGCCATCACAGGTCTTGCATCAACAGTCAGAGTTTTCAGTTTGAGTCGCCTAGATGCCAGATCTTCCTGAAGAAGAGACAGTTTTGATACCGGCAGGTTCATCTCGTTACTTCCAGACAGACTCCCAGGGCGTTCATGAAATTTTGCAATGTAGAAGAGATGCTTATTAGGAGTGGTAATTGGAGTTTACTTTAGCGAAACTTACAGTGACAATAGAGACAGTTCTCAGAGAAGTGCCTTGACACCATATTTGTTTTGAAGATTTTGTTTTGGATGGAGCTAAGAAATGGCTTGTATCTATGCAGCCGTAGGTTCCAGCAAACTAGTCGTGCTTCTGCCAGCGAGAGGAGTGGGACTCTGAGACGCTAAAAATTGAAACAGTAGGCAGGAAATTTTATTTGCGAGATCAATGCCATAGTCAGCTATAGGTCTGTGCCCATTTTGTTTTTGAATATGTGTTAAGGGAAAATGTATATCACAGCTCCTCTTTAGAACATACAGTGATTAATCTTTTTTTGTTTTTTGTTTTTTTTTAAATCTCAGACTCTCTCCATAGGAAACCAGTGGTGTAAAGCAGTGTAAAGCAGTTGTATCCACACAGAGATATTGTCATCTGACTATCTAGTCTGAGAAAGAAACTGTTGCACAGTGAAATAACAGTAAATATGAAAACATACACTTTGGACAGAAATGTTTACTTAGCTCTGGTTGGCCCTCTCTAGCAACATGGGGTGGTTTAAAATGATTAAGCATGTAAAAAAATGAATGTGTTGTGCATCAAATACCAAACTTAATACTGCACATAGTGAATCTGCAAACTATGACTAAAGGGGAAACATTTTTAAAATGCCTCTGATAATGAAAAGATTTATTGTAAAATATGTCTTAAATGGCTTGAACAAAATGCCCATTGTGTGTGCATAAAATGGCTTTACTCAGCAGTCATTCTAGGATTTAGCCCTTGGTGGGATTCAGATGCAGCAGGAGCAAAGGATTTGACAGCAGGGGGGCTGGAATCCGTAACAAACACCTTTTTAATTTAGGGCAATAACAGTGATGTGATTTGGTGTGGGAGAGCTGAATTTGATTATTTTTTCTGAGTGCCTGGAGCCACCACTGTGTGCGCTGATATTCTCATAAAAATGTCTTTAGTGTGTAAGATGTTGAGGTCAGATACTGTATGCCACAAAACTGAGTGTCAGGTTCTGTCTCTAGATTCAGGAGGTCCCTTTTTTGTCAAGTGATTGCACAGCATGGGGTAGTGTCTTCTCTATTTGTATCACCTGTTATATCCTATTTTGTTGCCTCATTCCTTGCTGATGTGTATATTCTCAGTACTCCAGAGAAATGAGGCCTTGTGAGTAGCCAGCAAGGGACCCAAATTCAGCAAATGCTTTTGGAAACTTGCACATATGAATTTTGTTCCTGATTCCACAGCACGAAAGTCGCTCTCACTTTTGCTCATTCATGCTCTGTGAAATACCCCAAAACAAAGAACTGTGAAATTTTTCGTGTGCCAAAACAAATAGGAAATAAGATTTTTGTATACTTGCTTCAAATTGAACATATTAAGCACTAGAAAATGCACATTTCAGAGAGGGGTACTAGGGCCTCTTTTCTTTTCAGCTTTCTTCTCACATAGTCTCTTTTTGAAAATGTGTCTATCTTTCTCCCTTATAACTTTCTATCCCTCAGCCTTTTTGCTGTTTGCCTTTTATCCTAGCCTTTTCCCTGCTATTACTTAGTCTTGTGGAACTTTGGTGGTACAGCTGGAATGAAAGGAAAATCAGAAACTAGAAATACGATCATAGATTAAATTAGCCCTAAAAACAGACTCTGGAATAAGAGGTTATGGCTGTTCTTCCAGAAAAATAACTTTAATCTGTGAGAATTTTCCAGTCCAACATAAAAAGCCTTTTTTCTCCGTGTTTGAACTAGAGCAAACAGGCAGTCAATGCCTTTCTAACCTTCAACACTCACTGTGCAGGTGAAAAAATGACAGGGGTCAAAAAATAACTTCTTTTCACTTAGAGATGCTCATGAGAGAGAAGGGCTACTTTTCTTGTAGTGTTATCTTCCTTACCAGCTCTCTGTCAGAAACTGAAATTAGTACTTCTTTTCTCTGTTGGCAGCTAGACTTGCAATCACAGCTGGGTAAATGCTATGACGATCTTGTTCTCAGTGATTAACTGTGTTGTATTTACATGCTGAAAGAAGTTACTCACCACGGTAAGTAAAACGTGTCAAGACCCTGCTGGTAGACAAACTGGAAGCAGCTGCGTTATCAGAATACGGCTTAGATCCCCACTTCCTATAAACCATGCTGAAGATTAAGTCAGACCTAAGCTAACAGGCCCTAGCAATGGATCCACCCTTCCATTTCCCACCTAAAGGGGAAATCACCTGCTAGCACATAAAGTTCAGAATCCTAGAGGGCCTTCATTTTCATTGCAGTATTTGATTTGAAAGTATCATTTCTTAAAATGTTGGTGCATTTCTGTATTTGTGAAAAGGCAGCTTGAATAGAACAAGAAGAAATCTTCAAATACGACATAGAGTTTGGGGGCTTAGATCATTATTACTGATGGGTCCTCTTGCTTGATTTTGTCATTAATAGGGAGTAGCGCTTGAATAATAATGAAACAAAGTCCATCAGTTGCTCCAATTCTTGCAGGCTAGTCTCCAGTCTTCTTCAACCTGGGAAAGACTGCAGTTCAGCAGATTTGCAAACTCTATTAGACTTCTCAAAGAAACAACGTTCTTGCTGGAGGGAGTCAAATCTCAACAAAGCCCACAGCTGGGTGTCCTTTGGAAATGACCGGAGTAAGACTGCATTGTTATTTCACTACAAAATTTATGTTCTGAATATCCCTTCTTAACTGATGTTAGCCTTAGAGATATCTGAGGACCCTTAGTGCACAAGTTTGCATTTCAGAAAGTCTTTAGATATGTTACCAGAACAGTCTGTGTCTTAAAACACAGTGGACAAATAAATGTGTCAGCCATGCCTGATCCCCGTTGGAATAAACTGCGCATTTCTGTGCCAGTTTGTTCCAGCAGTATTATCAGAGCATTGCTACTAAAGTAGGAATTTCACAAAAAACCCCATCTATATGATGTAATGAAGTTGCAGAATTTATACCCAATAACCCAAAATCAAATCTTTCCCTCCTTTCTAGAAGTGATTTGACCACATCTCTCACTTTCTGGATGCGTACTCTGACCACTGGCTACTCTCTAGGGGCTGTCTGTCAGTCCCTAGGTTCGTGGGACAGTACAGCCAACATATCTGCTGCTGAAAGGTAAGATAACATCAGGAAGGGAGGTAGGATTTAGGTTCCTGTCCTGGCTTCACCAGGTGGAGGAACTTCAACAGGAGACACTGAAAAGTCTCAGGCTCTTTCATCTCTAACTCTGGCTCTGCTTTGTGTAAAAATGTATCATTTTAATAAGTTTTAAGTATCTTTATGTGCTTAGTGCTGTGGTTATGATTTGCCTTTTTAAACGATGAGACATTTTACAAGAAGAAGACACTGATGCCCTATAAGAAGGACATGAGCAGCCTGAGGCTCAGCCTGAGACAGCTTGGGGAAGAATTACAGAAAGGCACTGTGAGATCTGAAAAAATAAATTTTAATGCAGGTTAGGACACTAGAAAGGAACATAAAATCAGCAAGGTTAAACCTGAAGTGGAGATTAACGGGACGTCGGAAGAATAAATGCTTACAATTACAAGAGCAGATAACAAAGGTTTCTGGTACAGCAGAAACAGAAGGACTGAAAGAGAATTAAAGACTTCTTCAGGTTATTAAAAAGCCAGAGTATCAATGAAAATAATATAGAGTTTGTAGACTTCTTGATTTCATTCTGCAACAGTTTTTGCTAGGGAGCGTTCTGAACAAATACTCAAGGCTTACTGTCTTTAAGTAGTACAGATGAGACACTATGTTCAAAAGTTCTTATGAAATAAACACTATTAGTTTAACTGTGAATATCAGGTGAGAAGATAGAAGCAATAGGTAAGGTATGGGATCTATTTCTACTTTGGATGTTCTTTGTTCTGTGGCCCTGACCCAGCTGCTCAGTTTGAATTTATTCCGTTTGTTGCATGTGATTATTCTTATTTCAGAGGAGTTGTTGGAAAGATTAACAGCAAAGGATTTCTAAGGATCTTTCATTTCTGTAAAGTCTTTTGGTGAAAGACATGGTTCTGGTAAGAGATAAAGAAGTACTATTTCAATAAATTGTTTCCATAGACTTTCATTGGTCGGGGGAAACCACAACCTACCACAGTTTTCCTGTGCATTGGAAAGTACCCAAATATTGCTGGAGAAGTAATCAAAATACTATCAGTTTCTGAGCAATTTCCTCCACTTTATTGATTTATTGGTACTTTAGTCTGTTTCATACCATGTCCGGGTCACAAAGTTTTAAACACATTTTCTAATGAAAATCGTACTACAAAATGGAAACAGGGGTTGTTCAGTTAGGTTACAGGACTCCAGGTGTTTCTCTCGGGGGATTTGTGGATGTTTATGGTAAACTCATCTGTTGAAATCAGACATTTATAGTTTGTTGGCTCTTAGTGGTGTCATGCCACCACCTCCCTGTGAATGGCAGCGTTCAGCGACTGCACCCCGAAGGTTTTCTGCAGTGCTCTTTAGCAGCCAGTTCCCTGTACTGACTTGGCTCTGCAGTGTTCGCCTGCTGGGGGAAATTTTAGGGCCGCTTAGTCCTCACAGTGGCTTCTACTGCATTCTCTCCAGTGCTGCAGTGACCTAAACCGAGGGACACCTCTACTACTATCTTCCCTGGTTTGGGCCATTAAAAAAGAGAGAAGAGGGGCTTCTATCTTTGCCTTCTTGTCTCCTAAATCTTGGTGCCTGGTGCAAGAGGGTATTAGGAGATTCTGAGAACTGTCTGTGGCTCTCAGAAGTGGAGCTGTGTCCTTTTTGTCCGCGATCAGTTGAGTTCAAAGGGACTGAAGACAGCTGACTGCGTCAGCAGAAACGCACAACCAAGATGACACTTCCTCAGACTTTCTTTTTAGAGCTTTTCCAAGGCCTGCCACCCATAGTCATGAAAGGACCTAAAAATTTGAGTATTGCAAGCTGTTTCCAGCCAGGATTTCAATATGGGACGAGTTTTTACTCTGTACTTCTTTTGCTACAGAGGTAGGTTTGTGCAGATGAGCCATGCCACAGTTTTGATTAGTAGGTAAGCTGCGAAGCCCAGAATAAGGTGTCAGTGCTTTGTATATGTCCTGTGGCAAACATGAAAGAAAGGGAGGGATGGATGTGACAAAGTGCTATCAGAGAGGTGCAGTGGCATAACATGGCTCAGTAGAAGTTACTAATCAGCACATGCTGATGTGAAGACTAATCTCACTTTTTCTTTTCTGTTACCATGTGGATAGACCTACCACTGTTTTAAACAATAGTGAACTTTTTACTATTGCACCTTCCCTTGTTCTTTTTGCTTGGCATACCACCTTTTCTTGGATTTGTCTCCACACCCAAAACAATTAACATAGCCAGTACTAAGCTTCCCCTAGTAATATTGGCTAGCAGATATAGCTGAGATTCAAAAACACTGAACTGCATTTTAAGGTGTAGAATAAAAACCTGAGATGGAGTAGAATTTCATGTCTGGTTCTCTTATTTATAGTGGCGGCAAAAAAGATAAGACAGTGAGGTAGAGTAATAAATGCAGGACTTAAATAGTGCTAAGAATTACGAAGGAAAAGGCCCAAGTGAAAAAAGCTTCGTATCATGTTTTAGGGGGCAAAATGGTGACAATAGTTGTATTTTACATGCATTCAAGAAAGCCTTTTTTCCCCTCTCTCAGGTTTTTACTTCCAGTATTATCTGATTTTGGTTTTCAGTTTCACACATGCTGGCATAGTCATAATTTGCCTCTGGGTCAAAATGACTAAGATTTGCACCTGAAAAAATAAGAAACTGATATGCGACTGATATGAAAAATAAAGGAACTGATACATAAACAGGTCAACCATTTCCATAAAAATATATGTGAATAATGACACCCAGCATCAAATAAAATACTTGTTTTCAGATTTTTGTAGGGGAAATTTCTGTTAATGGTTTCCTGCTGTGAATCTGATGGGCTGGTGAATGGTATCTATTCTTTTTTTTTTCTCTCTCAGCTTGTACATTTAGCTTCTTTAGAGAATGACTGGGTAGGATGGATACTTCCACAAGGGAATGAAGAGTGTCACTTCCCTTGGGAGCAAGGGAGTGCGCTTCAGTGGTATTATACCATGATATTGATACATACCCAAAGGAAAGAGCTGGAAACTTGCAGCAAAGATAATTGAAACGGCCAACAAAGCCACAGACCTGACCCTGATGGTGGCAGACAATGAGTCTCCTGAGGGATCAGGGAGTCTGAGAAGAATGTGCCGCATGCCTGTAGTGGCTGAAATCAGGCCTGGAAGCAGGCACACAGGCACGAGGCAAGAACTAGTGATAAACACTTTTTTTTTTTTATCTGCTGACTCCACTGCTTTACTTTTTAAAATCTGAAATAAAACTGCCTTTGTGAGTTTGCAAGCCTTCCTGATTTCTTTGGGGAGCTCATTACAAGAAAAATATCTCAACAAATCTGTATCACAGAAAGTACAGCATACGGCTGAACCCTACACGAGGGTATTAGAGAGCCTGTACCACTTCCATGCTACTAAGCCTGACATGCTATTTCTGGAGTCTTTACCCTCCTGTGTTTACAAAAGCAAAAACCAAAGCGTTTCTCAGAAGAAGGCTTAGGTATTGCCTTGTCTGGCAATGCAGCTGGTGCCTTGTCATTACTGCCCTCACAGCCCAGCTAACACCTGCATAAAGCACGTTGGAGCTGGGTGCCTGGCAGAAGTAATCAGAGGAGCCAGCAAGCTGGGTAAGGACCCTCTAGGGCAGGCTGGCAGGAAACTCTCACTGAAGAGACTTCATTGGGTAGCAGGCTCTCAAGGGGACCAGCTGGGTGGGAGAGTTTATCTGCTCAGAAATCACAGCAACATATTTTTGCTGGAGTCAGACAGAGGTGCAGGGTTAGGTTTTGCTTTCTCGCCTCTTCACCGTCCTTCCCCCTTATCCAGATTCTCATGAGAAATGTGAAGGAACCTTTCCTTCCTTCACTTGATTTGGACCGAGACTTGAACCAGGTTTCCGCCATGCAGGGGGATGTCAGGTGTTTGGTGAGACATCTTTTCCAAGTATCTCTTGCTAAACTTGTTCTGCTTTGGCTGAAATATGAAGAATCTCGTGGCTGCCCTGACAAGGAGCAGCCTTCCTGCTTCTCCTTTTGACATTGTATTGTATTTGTGCTTCTCAGGGAAAACAGTGAAGATATGAAAAACATGGACTGGCCTTTCTAATTTTCTCCTCCTTTAATACTCCTTATGAAATTAACATTTCAATAATAAAGACTACTACATTAATTTAAGCTGTGGTCTTGTTATCTGGTATAAACGTCCCCAACTTTCTTGCTTCCTGTAGCACTGGTTTGCATATAAAGATAAGTCTGGCTCCTTCCTCCAGTGCCATTGCTTTATCTGTCATGTGAGAGTGGGAGGGAATTCTTGAAATATCCCTGTATGTGTGTGATAAAAACTGTCTATGGCAAAAAAGTTAGCTTTCTCCTCACTCATATGCTTCAGCTATGCTTAAGAGTCTTCTGGAAACTTCCTGCATATTAAAGAGCCAACTTAAGTCACTAGAGCATCTTAAGGTTTATCCTGGCTAACTGACTTTTTGTGTGTCCTGTTTCTGAAACCTGAGGACCAAAAGTGTTACCACAAAAGAAGCACCTGAAAGCTGGGAATATCGTGCGCCTGCTAGCAAGCCTACTTCTAAAATCAGAAGCTGTCCCAAATCAATGACATATAGCTTCCCTAACATATAGCTTCCTAAATGACTTGTGTAAAGCTTCAGAATTTAGTAACAACAGAAACAAGGACTCATGGATATTGTAAACCACCTGAAGAGAGGGCTGATCTGAGAATAAACTTTGAGTTACACCTTCTGTTCGTCTTCTTTATGCTGGGAGAAAATAGAGGAAACATTGTTTGCTTTGTGCGTACATCTACGACTAGATCACTCTGTATTTTCTTTAATTTCCAAAACTCAAGAATGATATATTACTTCTGGTGATCTTTGCAAAAGCATAATTTGTGCCACCTAAATAAATATGTTTAAAACTGTATAACACAGATGTATATTTACCATCCATCTGCTTGCACACTGAAATGTGTGAAAGGAAGTTGCAAAGGTGCATAGTTTTTAAGTGATTTGCCATTTAAAACATTAAATTGGAGAATGACTAGATTATTTTAGAACATAAAATGAGATTCAGAGTTCAGATTTCATTCTCTGCCCACCAGATTGCAGTATTCCAGAATATTGGTTGAATAATTTACTTTTTATTTCTCCTTTCCAGAACACAAGCATGAGGTCTGAAATGACCTATCATGGAACCACTAGGGGTGGAAGAGACCATGGAGGGCTCTAGTCCAGCCTCCTGCTCAAAGCAGGATCAATGTTGAATACAGATCAGGTGGTTTAGGACTTTATCCAATCTGGTCTTGAAAATATCCAAGGATAGAAACTGCACAGCCTTTCTGGGCAACTTTTTCCACTGCCTGACATTTTTTCCTTTTATCCAGTCTGTGGCTCCCCTATTTCAGTTTATGACTATCTTCTCTTGTGCCTCTGCTGTTCATTACTGTGAAGACTTCAGCTCTGCCTGATCCGTTCCCTGTGCGTGCCGGGGCTGCAGTACAGTGCCCCGAGGCCACCTCTGCTCCCCGCTGCTTCCCCCAAGCTTCTCCTGGCCCAGCTTGGCCCAGCCCAGTCAGTGGTGGTGCCCAGTGCGGTCTGGGAGCACTGCGTGGAGGTGATAACCGTGCCCTACTCGGCCCGGCCTTGCTTTCACCACCCCAGCCCTGCCTTCAGCCCCGCGGCTACTCCACGCAGCGGTCCCTGGCCCCATGGCCCCATCTGGCCCAGGCACGGCAGTGCCTTCATCCTGGCTGAGCCCCTCCCTCCCTGTGGCCCCTTCCTCCCACCTGTCTAGGTCCCATGTCCCTGCCCTCATGCTTTTCGTCTCCATCTCCCAGTTAGATGTCATCTGCAAACCTGATGGAAGTGCACTCCATATCCTCCTCCAGGTCACATAAAGATGCTGAACAGGACAGCTCCCAGGGTATATTCCTGGGGTTTACCTGCCCTGCCTTGTCATTTTGTCACCCCAAAATATCCCTCTAAGGCCTCTTGACCCAGCCTAGGCCCATGACAACCAACAGCTATGAGAGGAGCAAGTGGGCCCCCTTTGAACCCCCCGCTCTATAAGGCGTTAGGGCACACCTTGCTGGGGTGGGAGGGAGGCTCCATCAGGTGCATGAGGACATTAATAGGCCTTAGTTGTCCTGATCAGCCCCACTGGCACCTGCGTACTTGCTGCCTGTGGACCAGGAGCCCCACCTAAGCTCAGGCTTGGGCAACCAGTCCTGGCCTGGGCTACGTGATGCTGTGTGTGTATCTGTGCCCAGCAATGTCTCCTGCTGCTCTTGACCCAACTCCCTTGGTGGACCCTGGCCCTGACTTGTTACCTGACCATGTTTGGGACTGAAGATAAGACCTTTCACTGTCACCAAGCAGATCCTGCTCAGATGCTGTGGGATGGTGCCCTGGTGGGTGCAGGTGCTGCTCGCCCTGGCATCACCCACAGCTCCTAGCTTGCCCCCTTCATGGCATAGTGCCACTCTTGCTACTCACTGACACACCCAATATCTATGAGGAGGCTACCAAGAAGAGGGAGCTGAAGTCCTTACAGCAGTGAACAGCAAGAGGATGAGAAACAAAGATCATGAACTGAAATAGGAGAGACTCAGAAAGGAGATAAGGAAAAGCCCTTTCCCCCACTGGGAACAGCCTGGCAGTGGAGCCGAGCACAGGAGTTGTGCCATCTCTGTCCTTGGAGGCTTTCAAGCCCTCAAAAGGGAAAGCCTTGAACAACCTGGTCTGCCTCCATGGCACCGCTGTGACTACTTTGAACGTGTGTTGAACTGGAGACCTCCTGTGACCTAGCCTGCCTGGGTCTGTGATCCTTGGTCGTTCAGGTGATCCTGGATGCTCTACCATGCTTCAGTCAGGAAAAGAGGTGTTAGAGCTTTGCTAGTGAGGAATTTATTGCTCTATAATCATGAAAGTCACACTGTGGTTTCAGCTGACAACCTCAAGAGTGGAGGGAGGCATGGAACAGCGCTTCTCGTTGTGGAGGGGGGGGGCTTTGCCAAGCCGTTGTGGGCTAACAGCTGCAAGTTCAAATGAACATGGAATACACTTCTTATGTTATTTGGTAAGCGCAACAGGATTATTTGGCTGAAATCGTGGAGGAACAATGTCTATGACACTCTAATTCCACGTTGCCCTTTCTGTTTTTGCTATCATGAGTACTTTTTGCAAGCAACTGAACAAAGAAAAGTTGTTTTGTCTTTTTGAAGCAAGCTTGAATACCATTCATTTCTCTTTTGCAGAGTGAGCTGGTAGGAATAGGCATTTGCAAAGTGTGCAAACCTTTATTTTAGTTTTTTTAGGCTTTGCATTAGCTTTGCATCATTGAATTAGTGACAGGAAACCTCAAGAACTGTATTACTAAGCAATAAAT